GCATTCCCATCAGGTGATGGGAGCAGCCGCTGTCGAGCAGCACCACCGTCGGGTTCGCCTGCACAGCGGCGGCGACGGCGTTGAAGTCCTCACCGGCCTCTAGCGCCAGCGAGATCGTCGGTTCCACCATGCCGACGATCAAGCACGAGGCCTCCTCGCCACGCGCATCGCCGCCGGAGGAGTCGGCGTCCTTCATCGAAGACGTCTTTGACGCCTGCTTCTCCTTGCGCGGCTCGTTGTCTCGAGGATGATGACCATCATTTGACTTTTTGCGGTTGGCGTCCCGGTCATCGTCAGACTCGTCTCGGTCGGAGTAGTCGTACGAGAGGTGGTCGGGAGCATCGCAGATGTAGCAGCGACGACCTCCGCAATGCGAGCCATTGCCACTACTATCACCTCCCTTCGCCAACTTCCCGCGGTCGGCGCCCTCCGTCGACTTCGACTTCCCACCACCGCCTCCGCCCGGCTTCCCACGTTGCCCCTGTTGGCGTCCTGCTTCGACGGGGCGACGTGGTTGGTCTGCGGAAGGAGTTTAATGGGCCTCTCGGACTCCTCCAACAACTCGTCGTTGATGATCTGGCTCAACAGCATGTCCTCGTTGAGAGACTCACGCGCACCGGGCATCGCATGCATCCGGCACATCAGATTGTAGCCCGTCCAGAGACCATTGATGACGTGTGTGACACACGACGCCACCGAGATAGTCGACGCCGGCCATCCGCAGTTCGGCCAAAATTTGCAGAGCTCTATTGCAGTATTCGGTCGCCGACTTGTGCTCGCCCATTGGAATGTTGGTCAATCGCTGCTCCAGTTGGCCGATGTAGAGGTCGTCGGTCGCCCTGTAGGTGCGCATGATGAGTTGCCACGCCTGGTAGCCGACGTCCATCCGCAGTCTGCACGGCTTCAAGGCGATTTGCACCAGCGGCGAGCAGCACCTCGAAATGACCATGAATGTCAGTAGGTGAGCAGCGCAAAACTCCGACCAGAGCTCGACGTCCTCCTTGTCCAGCGCCAACATGTCACCGTCGACGAACTTCTTCAATCCGGCAATCTCCAACTGAGGTTGGATGGGCTCTGTCTACGTGATCAAGTCGTGTCGACCTTCGAGCGGCGTCCGCACAGCGATCTTGTCCGGCGAAAACTTGAATTAGCCGTACGCTGGTGCGATGCCTCTATCTCGACGAGACGACACATGAGTCGCCAAGGTCGGCCCGACTCCATTCCGCTAGCGAGGACGATGTCGATCGTCGACGTCGATGCGAGAGCAGCTTGCAGCGGCCATCGACCGCAGCGCTTGCCCTTGCATTGCGCCGACGCTAACGTCGGTGGCCCACATTACTCCACAAGCCACCCTCGTGCCTTCTTCGCTGACAACGTTGCCGCCATTGCCTTCGTTGTGCACGGGTCGAGGAGATATGGAAGCAGCGTCCGCTTCAGCACGGGGGAGGGGGATGCTCGTGCGCCCACTGCGCATGGGTTCCCAGGAGCATTAACTCCAAGCTTTTTCCGCCGTACTTGCCAGCATCGTGGCATCATCGAACATCAGCATTTTGCGCCTCCTAGGAATCCTCTACGCCCGCTTCAACCACGGGGTTGACAATGGTGACTGAGACGGCTGCCGGCCTAACAACAACTTAGGTAAGGCGCAAAGTCGTATAATATGGAGGTTCTAACGTGGGGCCGTCCACGCTCACCGCACCATGCGGATAATCCAATCATAGTCGCGCGGCCGGCGGAGGCTCGTGGGCCTCTCGGCAGTAATAATGATGGCGATCTCATCACTTCCACCGCCGCCGCAGATCCCGACGAATCTCGGGCACCCCCCAAGCGCAGGGCGACGGATTCTGCCGCGTCAAAAGGGACGGCGGCAAATATTTCATATGTGCTCATGGCAGCCCTGCTGGCGCTCCTTTGAAAGCAAGCTGCAGCACCTGCTACAACGCCTACAGCAAAAATTGAAGCTTTTTTTTTTGTGTCCGCTAAAACTGCAAACGTTCGCAACAACATTTCTACCTTGGCATGTGTCACCGCACCCACCCACGCCGCCAAAGGATGTGAAAACAACTAGAACCATTAACTTCAATAGAAAGTGGAACAATCATACATAGGCTGGTAAGGTGAGATTGGGAGAGTAGCTTGGAAGAGGAGCTTGGAAGAGAAGGGGGGAGTTGGGTGGTTGGCAAGCCCCATGCCAAGGGGCAAAGAAGGGGCACCACACTTGTGGGTTGCAGAGAGGGGGCACCCAACTTGCAAGAGGGAACATGTGGGTTGCAAGGAGGGGGCACCCAACTTGTGGGTTGCAAGGAAGGGGCACCCAACTTGCAGTTGGGGGCTCCAACACTGGTGGGTTGGATTGACACCCCAACATACAAGTCTACACCCAATGTTGGATGTAGGCCCAAAGGTGGGTGTAGTCCCAACCCTATTGTACATCACATGCGGTGTACAGTCATATAATAGACTTAACATGCTATGACATAATTCTAACACAAACCCTTAGCATGTTAAGACAAGAAGGGAACAACCGCTGAATCAAGGGGCGCCTGGGCGAGCAAGGCCAATGAGGTGGAGCAGGGCAGAGTGCGCAAGGCGAAGGAGAGCCTTGGTGATGATGTCGGCCAAGTTGGCCTCTGCCGCAATTTTTTAAACAGCAAGGAGACCCTGATGAAGAAGTAGCGCAATCCGATGTACTTGGAGCGAGCATGGTAGACAGGGTCCTGGGTGAGACGGATGGTGCTGGCGTTGTCAGACCAGAGGGTGGGGCAGGGCTGGGGAGCGCCAAGCGTAGCAAGAAGATACCAGAGCCAGCGCGACTTCTGAATGGCTTTATTGCCAGCGTAACGCTCGGCCTTGTAGGAGGAGAGGGCGATAGTGGAGGAGCGCGTGGAGAGCCATGTGACAAGGTTGATGTTAAGGGTGAAGCGGTAGCCCTGAGAGGAGCGACGATCTGACTGAGTCCGCCCAAGAGGAGTCGCTGAAGCCAGGGAGCAGAGGGGGGGAGGAGCCGCCAAGAGTGAGGGCATGGTCCTTGGTCCCGCGGAGATAGCGCAGGACCTGCTTAGCGGCTTTCAAGTGCTCCTTGGTGTGGCGGCCGGTGCCAACAAAGCGAGCGAGCACGCTAATGGGATAGGCAAGGTCCGGGTGGTTGCACATCATGGTGTACATCAGCGACCCAACGAGCTCGGCATAGGGGTGAGAGGAGGAGGAGGGAGATGTGTGTGGCCTAGCTGGTGACCAAAAGGAGAGGGGTGGACACGGGCTTGGCTTGCGCCGTCTCGAATCTCTCCAAGACCTGGCCGAGATAGTAGGACTGGGAGAGGGTGATGGTGCGAGCTGGGCGATTGCGTGTGATAGCCATCCCAAGGTAGTGTGCCAAGTCGCCAAGATCCTTGCACTTGAGGCGCTGCTGTAGTGGCAGCTTCACTTGCTCCATGTCGGCCTTGGAGTCAGCAAGCAGGATCATGTCGTCAGCGTATACCAGGATCTGCTGCTGCCCCTGCTGCTGCTGCTGCTCTGGCTGCTGTCCCTGCTGCTGCTGCTACTGCGGCTGCTGACCCGGCTACTACTGCTGCTTAGGAGGGGGATAGTGAGAGGAGGAGGGAGAGGGGGGAGGGGGTGCAGCTGAATGGGTTGAGGAGGCGGGCGCGGCAAGGTCGTATATGTTGGTAGAGGATGAAGGTGGGAGCGGAGCGGCGACAGGCGTGAGGAGGGGTGCGGAGGGAGGAGGGGTGGGAGGACGGTCTCGTTTCCAAGCGAGGGGGCGAGAGGGAGTGGGGAGATGGTTAGGAGGAGGATTGGGGTAGTAGGGGACGAATTCATCGAAGACGACGTCAATGCTGTTGATGAGACGACAGGAGGGACGGTGGAGGAACAAGTAGCCCATGGAATCTTGATCGTGCCCGAGGTAGGCGCACTCCAGGGCACGAGGGGCGAGCTTTCCAGCAGCGCGAGAGCGATCAGGCGGAGGGATGAGGACGAACACCTTGCAGCCCCAGGCGAGAAGGCCGGCATCGTCAGGTTTGGCCTTCGACTAGAGTTTTGTGGGGAACGAGGTTGAATGCTGGGGGTGGGAGCGGAGATTGAGGAGGAGGGCAGCATGAAGGAGGGCATAGCTCTAAAGGGAACGAGAGGTGTAGGCGTGAGCAACAAGGAAACGAGTAATCTTGATGATCTCACGAATGCGACTCTCAGCGATGCTGTTCTACTGAGGGAAGTAGGGAAGGGTGGAGGTCCGCTGAATGCTATATGTCTTGCAGTAAGTGGAGAGGGTATGATTGATGAACTCACCCCCACCGTCAAAGTGAAAGCAACCTATGGGGCGTTTGAATTGAGTGCGTCACTGCTCAGCCCAGTTGGTGACCACAGCTGGCACCCGTTCTTTCATGTGAAGGAAAACGACGGTGGAGTACCGACTGTGGTCGTTGACGAGGAAAAACATGTACCGATGCCCCTGATGGGAGCGGATGGGATAGGGGCCCCACATATCCATGTGAACAAGGTCAATGGGGGCGGCAACGAAGGTGGGATGGATGTGATGGGGAGAATGTTTTAGTTTGCCATGAATGCATGATGGGTATGGGGGAGCGGGGGAGGAGGGGAGGGGAGGTAATGTGGGAGGAAGGCTGTCAAGGAGGCGGGAGGTGACGGCAGAGTTAAGCGCGACGAAGTTGGGATGGCTAAGTCTGTGATGCAAAAGCACGCAAGGCTGGGAGAGGTCAGTAGAGAAGGAGGGGGATGGAGTGGGGGAGGGGGAGGATGAGGGGGATGGAGTAGGGGAGGAGGATACCTGAGGGGGAGGTGGGCAGGTGGAAGTGCCAACACGAGTGGTGACCTCGGTGTGCGAAGTGTGTAAAAACGAGTGCGAGGGACGCGGTGGAAGTGCCAACACGAGTGGTGACCTCTGACAGAAAGAGGGACGCGGTGTGCGAAGTGTGTAAAAACGAGTGCGAGGGCAAAGGGGGATTTCCAGGAGAAAACGACTAGAGGCAGTGCGGAGGAAATCACAGTAGGAAGCATGGCCAGGGTAAGTGGTGGTAATACTCGCGGCCGCCGCCGCCGCCGTGCTCCGCCGCCGCCGTGCTCCTCCGGGGGCGGCCGGGGGCCGGGGGGCCGGGGCCGCCGCCGCCGCCGTGCTCCTCCGGGGGCGGCCGGGGGCCGGGGGGCCGGGGCCGCCGCCGCCGCCGTGCTCCTCCGGGGGCGGCCGGGGGCCGGGGGGCCGGGGCCGCCGCCGCCGCCGTGCTCCTCCGGGGGCGGCCGGGGGCCGGGGGGCCGGGGCCGCCGCCGCCGCCGTGCTCCTCCGGGGGCGGCCGGGGGCCGGGGGGCCGGGGCCGCCGCCGCCGCCGTGCTCCTCCGGGGGCGGCCGGGGGCCGGGGGGCCGGGGCCGCCGCCGCCGCCGTGCTCCTCCGGGGGCGGCCGGGGGCCGGGGGGCCGGGGCCGCCGCCGCCGCCGTGCTCCTCCGGGGGCGGCCGGGGGCCGGGGGGCCGGGGCCGCCGCCGCCGCCGTGCTCCTCCGGGGGCGGCCGGGGGCCGGGGGGCCGGGGCCGCCGCCGCCGCCGTGCTCCTCCGGGGGCGGCCGGGGGCCGGGGGGCCGGGGCCGCCGCCGCCGCCGTGCTCCTCCGGGGGCGGCCGGGGGCCGGGGGGCCGGGGCCGCCGCCGCCGCCGTGCTCCTCCGGGGGCGGCCGGGGGCCGGGGGGCCGGGGCCGCCGCCGCCGCCGTGCTCCTCCGGGGGCGGCCGGGGGCCGGGGGGCCGGGGCCGCCGCCGCCGCCGTGCTCCTCCGGGGGCGGCCGGGGGCCGGGGGGCCGGGGCCGCCGCCGCCGCCGTGCTCCTCCGGGGGCGGCCGGGGGCCGGGGGGCCGGGGCCGCCGCCGCCGCCGTGCTCCTCCGGGGGCGGCCGGGGGCCGGGGGGCCGGGGCCGCCGCCGCCGCCGTGCTCCTCCGGGGGCGGCCGGGGGCCGGGGGGCCGGGGCCGCCGCCGCCGCCGTGCTCCTCCGGGGGCGGCCGGGGGCCGGGGGGCCGGGGCCGCCGCCGCCGCCGTGCTCCTCCGGGGGCGGCCGGGGGCCGGGGGGCCGGGGCCGCCGCCGCCGCCGTGCTCCTCCGGGGGCGGCCGGGGGCCGGGGGGCCGGGGCCGCCGCCGCCGCCGTGCTCCTCCGGGGGCGGCCGGGGGCCGGGGGGCCGGGGCCGCCGCCGCCGCCGTGCTCCTCCGGGGGCGGCCGGGGGCCGGGGGGCCGGGGCCGCCGCCGCCGCCGTGCTCCTCCGGGGGCGGCCGGGGGCCGGGGGGCCGGGGCCGCCGCCGCCGCCGTGCTCCTCCGGGGGCGGCCGGGGGCCGGGGGGCCGGGGCCGCCGCCGCCGCCGTGCTCCTCCGGGGGCGGCCGGGGGCCGGGGGGCCGGGGCCGCCGCCGCCGCCGTGCTCCTCCGGGGGCGGCCGGGGGCCGGGGGGCCGGGGCCGCCGCCGCCGCCGTGCTCCTCCGGGGGCGGCCGGGGGCCGGGGGGCCGGGGCCGCCGCCGCCGCCGTGCTCCTCCGGGGGCGGCCGGGGGCCGGGGGGCCGGGGCCGCCGCCGCCGCCGTGCTCCTCCGGGGGCGGCCGGGGGCCGGGGGGCCGGGGCCGCCGCCGCCGCCGTGCTCCTCCGGGGGCGGCCGGGGGCCGGGGGGCCGGGGCCGCCGCCGCCGCCGTGCTCCTCCGGGGGCGGCCGGGGGCCGGGGGGCCGGGGCCGCCGCCGCCGCCGTGCTCCTCCGGGGGCGGCCGGGGGCCGGGGGGCCGGGGCCGCCGCCGCCGCCGTGCTCCTCCGGGGGCGGCCGGGGGCCGGGGGGCCGGGGCCGCCGCCGCCGCCGTGCTCCTCCGGGGGCGGCCGGGGGCCGGGGGGCCGGGGCCGCCGCCGCCGCCGTGCTCCTCCGGGGGCGGCCGGGGGCCGGGGGGCCGGGGCCGCCGCCGCCGCCGTGCTCCTCCGGGGGCGGCCGGGGGCCGGGGGGCCGGGGCCGCCGCCGCCGCCGTGCTCCTCCGGGGGCGGCCGGGGGCCGGGGGGCCGGGGCCGCCGCCGCCGCCGTGCTCCTCCGGGGGCGGCCGGGGGCCGGGGGGCCGGGGCCGCCGCCGCCGCCGTGCTCCTCCGGGGGCGGCCGGGGGCCGGGGGGCCGGGGCCGCCGCCGCCGCCGTGCTCCTCCGGGGGCGGCCGGGGGCCGGGGGGCCGGGGCCGCCGCCGCCGCCGTGCTCCTCCGGGGGCGGCCGGGGGCCGGGGGGCCGGGGCCGCCGCCGCCGCCGTGCTCCTCCGGGGGCGGCCGGGGGCCGGGGGGCCGGGGCCGCCGCCGCCGCCGTGCTCCTCCGGGGGCGGCCGGGGGCCGGGGGGCCGGGGCCGCCGCCGCCGCCGTGCTCCTCCGGGGGCGGCCGGGGGCCGGGGGGCCGGGGCCGCCGCCGCCGCCGTGCTCCTCCGGGGGCGGCCGGGGGCCGGGGGGCCGGGGCCGCCGCCGCCGCCGTGCTCCTCCGGGGGCGGCCGGGGGCCGGGGGGCCGGGGCCGCCGCCGCCGCCGTGCTCCTCCGGGGGCGGCCGGGGGCCGGGGGGCCGGGGCCGCCGCCGCCGCCGTGCTCCTCCGGGGGCGGCCGGGGGCCGGGGGGCCGGGGCCGCCGCCGCCGCCGTGCTCCTCCGGGGGCGGCCGGGGGCCGGGGGGCCGGGGCCGCCGCCGCCGCCGTGCTCCTCCGGGGGCGGCCGGGGGCCGGGGGGCCGGGGCCGCCGCCGCCGCCGTGCTCCTCCGGGGGCGGCCGGGGGCCGGGGGGCCGGGGCCGCCGCCGCCGCCGTGCTCCTCCGGGGGCGGCCGGGGGCCGGGGGGCCGGGGCCGCCGCCGCCGCCGTGCTCCTCCGGGGGCGGCCGGGGGCCGGGGGGCCGGGGCCGCCGCCGCCGCCGTGCTCCTCCGGGGGCGGCCGGGGGCCGGGGGGCCGGGGCCGCCGCCGCCGCCGTGCTCCTCCGGGGGCGGCCGGGGGCCGGGGGGCCGGGGCCGCCGCCGCCGCCGTGCTCCTCCGGGGGCGGCCGGGGGCCGGGGGGCCGGGGCCGCCGCCGCCGCCGTGCTCCTCCGGGGGCGGCCGGGGGCCGGGGGGCCGGGGCCGCCGCCGCCGCCGTGCTCCTCCGGGGGCGGCCGGGGGCCGGGGGGCCGGGGCCGCCGCCGCCGCCGTGCTCCTCCGGGGGCGGCCGGGGGCCGGGGGGCCGGGGCCGCCGCCGCCGCCGTGCTCCTCCGGGGGCGGCCGGGGGCCGGGGGGCCGGGGCCGCCGCCGCCGCCGTGCTCCCGCCGTCGCCGTGCTCCTCGGGGGGCGGCCGGGGGCCGGGGCCGGGGCCGGGGCCGCTGCCGCTGCCGTGCTCCTCCAGGGGCGGCCGGGGGCCGGGGCCTGGCCCGTTGCCGCCGCCGTGCTCCTCCGGGGGCGGCCGGGGCCTGGGCCGGGGCCGGGGCCGCCGCCGCCTCCGCCGCCTTGCTCCTCCGGGGGAGGCCGGGGGCCGAGAGCCGGGGCCCGGGCCGAGGCCGGGGGCCGGGGACGGGGCCTGGGCCGGGGCCGGGTTCAGCAGCACGACAAAGTCACGAAACTTGCATGGGTAGGAGCACATAACAAATATTAGAGTGGTTGGAACGATGAAGGGTTGCTGATGACGCTAAGCAATGCATCATCGAGAGTACGCACAAAATGAGATGAGAACTTACTGCTTGTCCGTCGACACATCGAAACGGGGGGTTGAGCCCGGCAAAAAGCATCACCAGGCCCTTGCGCTGCTGCCTTTCACCAACCTGTGGAGAAATATAGGAGCCCATGGTAGTCTGCCTACTCCCCTCGACAGTGGCTCCTGTCAACCCACTCGGACCGCCCCCCCCCTGGCTGCTGGGATGTCGGGCCACGTATCAGCATGCTCCCATGGCCACTTGGTCTTATCGGGTACGGATGGTCCCCACCCCCCAATCCGGCATCGCAAGCCCCTTCTAGCTTCTTCGGGTCCATGAAGCGACGAACCCATGAAGGCGTGGGTAGTGCTTCCTCTATTAATGCCTCCTCCTCGCACTCATGCTACTTGATCCCTACTTCATCTAGGTGCTGCACTTCAGACAACGCCTCTTCTCATTCACTAACGGGCCGAACATGCCACGCACCAAACCTTGCTCTCTCAAATTCTAGACCTTCTCCACAACCGGATCCAAGTCATCTTTGGTTGATAGTCTGTTGGCCTCCCTCATAGCATTGATAGTGGCCCAGGAAACCCCAACGTAGCGCCTAGTAGCAGTTGGCGCAGCACCTACAGCTGCAGCGTACGGAGGCGCAACAGCAGCTGCAGTAGGGGCAGCAGCTGCGGGGAGAGCAGGCGCAACAGCGGCTGGCACTGACCCTGCAGTAGGTCCAGTACCTCCAACATCACTCGAACCACCCGCCCATCCACCGTGGCCCCTTCAGTATGAGCCAGCCGCCCGGGCCCGTGACCATCAGCCACACGCGCTATTTTCTGCCCTGCACGGCACCCACGCCCCTGTCCACCGGTTTCGCCATCACTCACACCATCGTCACCATTACCCGACTGCCAAGTAGGGTCACACTCCTCTGCTCATGGCTGACCAGCTGCTGGCTGCTGCAGTGCCTGCTACCATCGTTGCTCCTCCCATGCCACCCTCCTCGTGACCACTTCTGCATGAGCTGTCTCGTCCACGCCCGGGGAGAGTTACCAAACTGGAAACCCTTTTCCATGAAGGATGGGATGCCAAGGCCACCAGCCCATCCCCGGGGTTCCGGCCCCCCGCGGGCGGGCGGGCGGCGGCAGCGGCGGCTACGGCCGCGCCCTCAGCCCCTCCCCGGCGGCGGCCCCGGGGTCCAGGGCCCCCCGCGGGCGGGCGGGCGGCGGTGGCGGCGGCCGCGCCCGCAGCCCCTCCCCAGGGTCCCGGCCCCCCGGCGGGCAGGCGGGCGGGAGGGAGGGCGGCAGCGGCGGCCGCGCCCGCAGCCCTTCCCCGGCGGCGGCCCCGGGGTCCCGGGCCCCCCGCGGGCGGGCGGGCGAGAGAGCGGGCGGCGGCGGCCGCCGCCGCGCCCGCAGCCCCTCCTTGGCGGCAGCCCCGGGGTCCCGGCCCCACCGCGGGCGGACGGGCGGGAGGGCGGGTCTCGGCCCCCCACGGGGGCGGGCGGGCGGCGGCGGCCGCCGCCGCGTCCGCAGCCCCTCCCCGGCGGCGACCCCGGGGTTCCCCCCCCCCCCCTCCCCCTCCCCCCCCCCCCCGAGGGCGGGCGGGCGGGAGGGCGGGCGGCGGCCCCGGGGTCCCGGCCCCCCGCGGGCGGGCGGGCGGCATTTGTGGACTGTTAAGACATTTTTTGAGGCATTTTCAGCATAGTTACAAGAAGCAAAGAACATGCAGGAAGTCGAAAAAGAAAATGAAGTCGAAAAAGAGAATGGAGAACAAGAGGAGGAAGGAGTGGAGGGAAATGGAGAGTAGTCAGAGGTACGCCTCGTGCACCCCGTCCGTTGCCCTTACCCCTCCATTGCACATGTCCACATGACATCACGACACTATTTTGTCCCCATGGAGCGCTGAGCTGCACGTCGCAATCGTGTCGCGTGGAGGAGAATGTGGTGGCGCCTCCCTCACCACCCCACGCACACCGCTGCCTGCAACCACACCGATGCCTGGCGTTGGAGAAAGGGAAACAGAACTTACCGTGCCCTCAGCACCGCATGCTCCAAAGAAGGGACGATCCGAGGTATGCATGTTTCACACCTCACTACTTACTTCTGTTGGTCTAAACCTATGGTATTGTATTGTAGTTCGCTCTGCTTTGTGCATTGTGCAGCTGTGCATACATTTTGACACATCTTGACCATCTAGATCATTTGTCTCTTCTCACATTTTACAGAAAGTGGTCACTTCGCACATTTATAGAGAATATTCAAGTGTTGCTACTGATATTTGAAACACTGTACAAGAATTATAGCATATAATCATCCGTACTTTTCAGCATCAACCAGAAGGACGGTCTCGTTTCCAAGCGAGGGGTCGAGAGGGAGGGGGGAGATGTTCAGGAGGAGGAGTGGAGTAGTAGGGGAAGAATTCATCGAAGACGACGTCAATGCTGTGGATGAGACGACCGGAGGGACGGTGGAGGAACAGGTAGCCAAAGGAATCGTGGTCGTGACCATGGTAGGCGCACTCCAGGGCACGAGGGGCGAGCTTGCCAGCAGCGCGGGAGCGATCAGGCGGAGGGATGAGGACGAACGCCTTGCAGCCCCAAGCGCGAAGGCCGGCATCGCCAGGCTTGGCCTTCGACTAGAGTTCTGTCGAGGAGGAGGTTGAATGCTGAGGGTGGGAGCGAAGATTGAGGAGGAGGGCCGTATGAAGGAGGGCATAGCTCCAAAGGGAACGAGGGTTGTAGGCGGGAGCAATAAGGCAACGAGCAATCTTGGTGATCTCACGAATGCGACTCTCAAGGATGTTGTTCCGCTGAGGGGAGTGGGGAAAGGTTGAGGTCTGCTGAATGCCATATGTTTTGCAGCAAGTGGAGAGGGTATGATTGATGAACTCACCCCAACCGTCATAGTGAAGGCGACCTATGGGGTGTTTGAATTGAGTGCGGCACTGCTCAGCCCAGTTGGTGACCACAGCCGGCAACTGTGTCAAGAAAGTAATGTGGGATTGATTAGGGTTGTGTGTACAAGTAGGAAACCTTAAAAGTTTGTACTCACTAGAGGATGCCCCACTACAACCTAGAGCATACAAACCTAGTTTGACACACCCCCATAGGCAAGGTGGGGGATAGCAAACACAACGAACGGTCACAAGACCAGTCAAGCAAAAGATCAAAGCTAAGCAAAGCTCAGGGTGGATCTCAAGATCACCATGCATTCTAAGCAGAAGCAAGCGACCGCAAGGCCAGTTCACATGCAGAGTTTATATTAGCAATAGCAGTACACTGATCACAACCTAGCAAGTGTAAGCATGTAGGTATAACCATATATATTAGTGTACAAGAAGAGCAACGTGTTGGCTCGTGTAGCCACGTAAGCAAGACGAAGCTGACCACGCTGCTGCAGCTTTCCTGTGAGGAAGTAACGGAGAGCAATGTGCTTCGTTCTGTGCTCCAGTCTCTGGTCCTCTCACAAGGCAATTCGCCTTGTTGTCGACGTACAGAACTGGAGGAGAACGAGGCCGCTCACCCAAGTCGGTCAGCAGGTAGGTCAACCAGCGGAGCTCCTGTGCAGCCATAGCCACATCGTAGATCTCAGCCTCACAGCTGGAGCTAAGTACAGAAGAAGAGCGAGTGGACCTCCACGAGACAGAACCAGTGCCGAGGCTGAAACTGTACCCCTGTGCCGACCGGTGAGTCGTCTGGTCGTCAGCCCAAGAAGCGTCTGAGTGACCGGTGAGAATAACTGAACCCGGTCCTCCAAGCACGAGCCCCATGCCCGATGTACTGCACAAGTAACGCAGTACCCTCTTCGCAGCTTCCCAGTGCACCTTTCGGTGTCTACTGGGAGCCACGTAGCGAGCCAGGAGGCTGAGAGGGTACGCGAGGTCAGGTCGTGCACACGTCATTAGGTACATGAGGCAACCCACAAGCTCTGGGTACGGACCACTCGGCTCTACGGACTCGTCCGAAGGTGGAGCTGAGAGCGAGTGGCCGGTAGACAGAGGAGTGGACTGTGGCGAGGACCACGTGAAGTCGAAGCGTGAAGGACCTGCTGCACCATGTGTGACTGAGTGAGGGTGATGGTGCGGCGTGCTTTGTCCCAGGTGTTTTGCAAGCCAAGATAGCTCCGCAGCTCACCCAGGTCCAAGTGTGTCTCTCCTGCAGCTCCGCCTTCACCAAGGCCAGAGCCTCATTGTCAGTAGTAGCAAAAACCAAGTCGTTAACGTACACGAGAACGTAGAACAGTGGCAGAGAAGTGTTTGTGCACAGAATAGCGAAGGGTCAGCAGTCGAAGGAGCAAAGCCAAGAGCCGCAAATGTAGTCCTCAGTGTGTCGTGCCACTCGCACGGCGCCTGTCGTAGGCCGTAGACTGGTCGCCGAAGACTCCACTGGGTACCCGCAGGAAACGACCCAGTGAAGCCACGTGGACGGCGCAACCAGATAGCCTCGTGAAGGCTGCCCTGCAGGAAGGCTGTCGAGAAGTCGAGGGAGTGCAGCTCGTAGTCGCGCTGTGGTGCAACGTGCAGTAGCACCCGAAGAGTGGTCATCTTCGGGGTGGGGGAGAAGGCCTGAAAGAAGTCGACCCCCTCATGCTCACTTAAGCCTCGTGCAACGTAAAGCGCCTCGAAGGCAGGCGGAGAACCCGGCGGCCGCTTCACCCTGAAAATCCACATGCCATCAACTATGTTCGCCCCAGGTGGGGGAACCTCGACGACGTAGGTGCCTGTGGACTTCCAGGAAACCATCTTTGCGTCCATGGCTATCTGCCACTGAGAGGAGTACGGACCCGTGATCGCCTCTGCGTAAGTGCGTGGGGTCGGGATGTCCAGTGCATCCGGGTCTCCCTCAAGGCAAAGTAGCATGGACGCGAGATAAGGTGCAGCGGCCGCTAGGCACTCCAGCTCAAACTGTCTGTCTTCAAGGACGTCACAACCAAGGGCAAGCTCACCCCCGACGGACGGAGGACAGGAAGAGTCAAAAACAAGACTCGCAGCGTAGTCAAGGCGGCACAAAGCGGCAAAGTCAACAAGCTCAGTAACTAAGGCAGACGCAGCAGCAGACTCAAAAGAAGGGTCAGTCGCAACTGTGGCAAGGAGACGAGTGACAGTCGGACTGGCAGCACGGACAAGGCTAGACTCGGGGTCAGGAACGTGCAGAAGAGAGGACGCGGGAGGCGACGGCAGGACAACACGCTGTGGAACAGAGGAAGGATGGAGTGTCATAGTGCCCGGTATAGCCGGAGCACGAGGACGACGAACACGACGAACACGAGCAGGGACAGAAGCTCTAGTTAGGCTCTCGACGCTCAAGAGCGGAAGCACAGGTCTCAGGCTCACGACGCGCAGTCAGGGACGCAGTCACCTCAGTGTGAGGAGCAGGAGCAGGCAGCGCGGAGCCAGGCAGTAGCTGTGGCTGAGACTGGTCATGTGGTGGGAACAGTAACGGAGGAGTAGTACCAATAACCGGGAACTCGGTAGCAGCAGGCGGGAGACTAAGAAGGTGACGAAGCGCAGACGGCTGCGGCTGAATAGTCGCACCCCCAAAACCTCCAGCTCCAGAGACAAAGAGACGGGAGTGCATGCCACGAAGGCGTGGCGAGGAGGGGTGGCCAAGACGGTGGTGTCAGAGGAGAGTCTGGTGCGTGAGGAGACAACACGAGCAAGACGCAGCGTCCTCAACCGACGCAGGGTCGAGTCTGTACACACTGACTACTGAAACTCCTCAGGTAGCTGCGTCTGGTCAGGTGTCCTCATCAGGTCCAGTAGCAGCCCCCTGCTCGTGTCGCCTCCTGTCGCGCCAGACTCTCCTTTGGCACCACCACCTTGGTCACCCCTCCCTGCCACGCCTCTATGGCATGCACTCCCGCCTCCGTGTCTCTGGTCTTCCCAGGTCTGTGCCTCCCCTCCCACCTTCGCCTGCCCCTCCCTGCTTTCCTTGTGTCGAGGGGCGGCAGCTCGCCGCTCCTCACTCCTCCTCGTTTCCCCATGACGGCTGCTCCCCTATAGACTCTCCACATGGACGTGTGGGGCCCAGCCCGCGTCCGTGGACAGGGCCGTGAGCGATACTTTCCGCTGGTTGTTTACGACTACTCGCGTTACACCACGGTCTTCCCCTTGCGCAGCAAGGGGGAGGTACCGGATGTTTTAATCCCTTGGATCCGCGCTGTCCGTCTCCAGCTCCGCGAGCGGTTCCGCGAGGAGCTTCCTGTCTTGCGTCTGCACTCTCACAGAGGTGGTGAGTTTGCCTCCGACCTCTTGCGGGACTTTTGTCGTGGAGAGGGCATTCGCCAGACGTTCACGCTTCCGGCCTCTCCGCAGCAGAATGGGGTTGCTGAGCGGTGCATTTGCTTAGTCATGGAGGTCGCTTGTACCTGCATAATTCATGTGGGTGCTCCCAATTTCTGTGGCCGTTTGCGGTCCAATACGCTGCGCATCAGCTCAGCCTCTGGCCCCATGTCTCCTTGCCGGAGTTCTCGCCTACACTGCGTTGGATGGGGGAGGTTGGCGATGCGTCGGTGTTCCGGGTGTGGGGATCTCGTGCCTTTGTCCGCGATACCTCCGCGGACAAGCTCTCCTCCCACGCCATTCCCTGTGTCTTCCTTGGCTTTCCCCCTGACGCGCTTGGCTGGCAGTTTTACCACCCCACCTCGCGCCATGTCCAGCCCTCT